TCGTGCACGCGGCGCGCGCACACACTCTAATTGGAATCGATATGAGCAAGCACTCGAAGAAGAACTGTGGGATCACTCTGCCCCCATAACTCTCCAGCCTGGATTGTCTCTCACAATGCTTTGCTACTGACAAGCAGCAAACCCCTACGAGCACTGTTATCACTCAGCCACCAGCATGCAGAGACACACCCAGCTAAGTTGCATAAATGCTCTCCAAGCCACTCATGAACTACACAGAGGGAGACATCAGCAAATCCACTCCAGCTCCCAGCCTTGCACCCCAGAAATCTTACACTGTTCAAGACCTTCCCTTGAACAATGCAAACTCATTAATTAGTTCACCACTTCATCAAAGTATAGCAGACATGCTATCTGAGCAGATTCCCCAAGCACTTTAGACAAACTCACTGGTTTAAAATGAAACATTAGAATAAGTTTATTAACTACAGAAAGATAGATTTTAAGTGGTAAGCATAAAAGGTCAAATATATTTATCTAAGAAAATAAAAAGTAAACATGGTTTCTAAATCCTAAACTTTCAGACTAAGCAAGATTTGAATCAAACAGCTTTTCTCACCCCACTGGATGTTGCAGGTAGGTTACAGTTCTTAATACACATGCTGAATTTCCTTCTCAGCCTGGGACCAGTTTCCTCAGTTCAAAGTCTTTGTCGTCCCAGAACTCTTGTTGCCTTCAGAGTAGGTGGGGGAGGAAAGAGGTGGTCTCACGATGACACTGTCCCTTATTTTATACTCTCAATTCATATCCCAGGGAAGATACTGGCCCAGATGTGTCCTGATGGGCCTTGCTGAGTCACAGAGTTGAGCAGTCTCCATTGTATGGTGCTTGTGCAACTGAGTCAGAGTTGAGCAATCCTTGTTGTGTAGTGCTTGCACTACTGTCTCTCACAGAATTGTAAATCTCTTGTTTACAATTCCCCTGCTGGTCAATGGCTCGTGATGGTTGCTTAAGGCCCGTTTGAGTGTGGGTCATTTCCTTTGTTGCCACTGGAAAGCTAGCTATGGGCGTCTCCTGGACACACAACATATTTCAATTACAACCATATAGCAGAATATCATAATTCCATATACACTGATAATACATATATTATGACAGAACAATAAGTTTGATACCTTGCAAGGCATGCTTTGTATGCAATATCACAACCCCATACCGATGGTGAATATGGTGGTTACAGGGTTCTACTTTGAGGTACAGTGCATCACACCAGGCCCCTGCAGTGTCCAGCCCTCTCACTTACCAAAGTTTGTTGCTTCTTTAAAGAGACAATACATTGCAGCTCATTAATTTAAATGCTATTTGACAAATACTGTTATGTCAATCACAGCACTGAACTGGTTTATGGTAAACGTAAAACAAAACAAAAAGACACAGGATTAACTGATACCAAATATAAGGAATAACAATAGTAATTGTTACAAGCAAACAAAAGTAAAAATACACGTCTAAGACTGAACAATTGCAGCAAGTTACAACCTTTGCCTAAGCAGATTTCTCACCTAAACTCAGTTCCAAGGGACTTCAGCCCTCTTGGTTGAAGGATCCAATGTTCTGTGACTTCAAGAGCTCTGGAACCTTTAATCCCCAAGTGATGAATACTAAAGTAGCTTTCTGTTTAGATCTCCCAAAGTTCATTGACCCTGTTACAAGACAGGAAGGCTTCCTGCTGTTCTTCACTTCCTGTTGACTTCCTATTCCCCAGCTGATTCATATGTACATGGGGCTTCCATTGTTTTGATTCATAATGCTTAATATACATTGGAACAGTACTGTCCATGCTTGACCTATTCTTTACCTCGTCTCTACATTCATAACTTATCTTGCCCATTGGTATCTAGTTCATAGTAAATGATGCTGTGGGTGTTCTGCCTCTTTTCTTAGTTGGCTCAGGCATTCTGTCTTTTTAGCCTACTGACCTATTTACTTATCTATGTTGCACAAATGTTCTGTTTTCAGCCTAATGATCTGTTTACCTCCCTAATTTTATCTTCCAAGAAGTGATGCATCTCTCCATGTGTTAATTACTCCTGTCAGACCAGGCCTCAGCTACAGATAGCTGCCATCCCTCCATTCTGGGAGAAAACCTGTTTGTCCCTCTGTTTGGTCACAGACTTTAAAGCACAATATCAGTGAGTCTCCATAATTCCTCATGTAATGTTAATGCAGACATTTCACAATGATCTCACTCACCAGTGTGTCACAGGCTTTCATAAAAGTCCTTACTCAATATGATTTTATAATACAGTAATGTTGTATACAATTAGTTGATTCAATTGCGTATTCTTTGAGGTTCAGACACCCTGTTGATAGCCCAGTAACCCTTTGAAATGTATTCATTGAAAACAAGCCCAGACCAAGCTTCTCTTGACTGCTGGGATGTAGATGCGATAATGTCATCCCAGAGTTCGTTGATCCTGTTTCAAGAGGCAAGAAGACTTCCTGGGGGTCCATTCCCTCATCGAGATTGGTAAGTATTCATCTTTCCCTGCTTGCTCTCCTGATGGCTTTGTTTACGTTGCATGTAAATGTGCTTTTCTTTGGTTTTGGCCACACCCTTCCTAATTTACATTGGAGACACATCCAAGCAGGTGGAACCACAATCCTTTGTCTGGAACAAATATGGCTTAGGCACTGCTTGCCACACACATTTTAAGTACACATTTGTAGCACATATATCCATAGTCCTCTGTGGGCTTACTATACATACAGTAGAACCTCAGAGTTATAAACATCAGAGTTACAAACTGATCGGTCAACCATGCACCTCATTGGAACCCGAAGTATGCAATCGGGCAGCAGCAGAGACCAAAAAAAAAAAATCAAATACTGTACAGTACTGTGTTAGATGTAAACTATTAAAAAAATAAAGAGAAAGTTTAAATAAAAGATTTAAAGATTTGACACGGTAAGGAAACGGTTTACGTGCTTGTTTCATTTAAATTAAGATGGTTAAAAGCAGCATTTTTCTTCTGCATAGTAAAATTTCAGAGTGGTATTAGGTCAATGTTCAGTTGTAAACTTTTGAAAGAACAACCATAATGTTTTGTTCAGTGTTACGAACAACCTCCATTCCTGAGGTGTTAGTAACTCTGAGGTTCTATTGTACATTACACATTGATTTTCAGGACTACAAGTTTGTATGTGATACCTTACGTGACACCTTTTAGATATAGTTTATGACAATAGCGTGTTAGGTACAGTGAGTTTGTCAGGCCCGACGACAGAGTACTGAACCACCAATGGGCCTCTATATGTCTCAAACACAAGAAGAAATCTATAGTCAGCAGAGTTAAGGACAATAAGAAGAAATTTTTAAACGTATTAGGAACAAAATAGTCCTGACAATGATATTGGTCTATTATTAGATGGAAATGGTAGAATTACCAATAATAGTGTAGAAAAGGCAGAAGAGTTCAAAACATATTTCTGTTCTCTATTTGTGGAAAAAAACAGATGATATAGTCTCATCATGTGGTGATAATAACACTCTTTCCATTCCAGTAGTATCTCTGAAAGCTGTTAAACAGAAGCTACTAAAGTTAGACTTAAAAAAAAAAAACAACAGGTCCAGATAATTTGCATCCAAGAGTTTTAAAAGAGCTGGCAGAGGAGCTTGCTGGACCATTAACGTTGATTTTCAATAAATCTTGGAGCACTGGGAAGTTCCAGAAGACTGGAAGAAAGCTAATGTTGTGCCAATTTTTTAAAAGGATAAAATGGATGACCTGCGTAATTATAGGCCTGTCGGTTTGATATCAATCCCAGGCAAAATAATGGAGCGGCTGATACAGGACTTAATTAATAAAGAATTAAAGGAGGGTAATGTAATTAATGTAAATCAACATGGGTTTATGGAAGATAGATCCTGTCAAACTAACGATATCTTTTATTGAAGAGATTACAAGTTTGGTTGATAAAGGTAACAGTGTTGATGTAACAGACTTCTGTAAGGCATTTGCCTCAGTACTGCACAACATTTGATTGAAAATAGAATGATATAAAATTAAAATGGCACACATTAAATGGATAAAAAAGCTGGCTAACTGATCAGTCTCAAAATGTAACTGTAAATGGGAAATCATCATTGGGCAGGCATGTTTCCAGTGGGGTACTGCCTGGGTCTGTTCTGGGCCCTACAATATTTAACATTTTTATCAATGACCTGGAAGAACACATAAAATCGTTACTGATAAAGTTTGCAGGTGACACAAAAACTAGGGAAGTGGTAAATAATAATCAAAATGACAGGGAACTGATTCAGAGCGATCTGGGTGCTTGGTTAACTGGGTGCAAGCAAACAATATGCCTTTTAGTACAGCTAAATGCAAATATATACATCTAGAAACAAAAAATGTAGGTCATACTTACAGGATAGGGGACTCTATCCTGGGAAGCAGTGACTCTGAAAAAGATTTCTGGGTCATGGTGGATAATCAGCTGAACATGTGCTCCCAGTGTGATCATAAAAATCATAGATTAGGTTGGAAGAGACCTCAGGAGGTCATCTAGTCCAACCCCCTGCTCAAAGCAGGACCAACTCCAGCTAAATCATCCCAGCCAGGGCTTGTCAAGCCGAGGCTTAAAAACCTCTAAGGATGGAGATTCCACCACCTCCCTAGGGAACCCCTTCCAGTGCTTCACCACCCTCCTACTGAAATAGTTTTTCCTAATATCCAACCTGGATCTCCCACACTGCAACTTGAGACCATTGCTCCTTGTTCTGTCATCTGCCACCAATGAGAACTGCCTAACTCCATCCTCTTTGGAATCCCACTTCAGGTAGTTGAAGGCTGCTTTCTTTTCTGCAGACTAAATAAGCCCAATTCCCCAGGCTCTCCTCATAAGTCATGTGCCCCAGCCCCCTGATAATTTTCGTTGCCCTCCGCTGGACTCTCTCTAATTTGTCCACATCCTTTCTGTAGTGGGGGGACCCAAAACTGGATGCAATACTCCAGATGTGGCCTCACCAATGCCGAATAGAGGGGAATAATCACTTCTCTCAATCTGCTGGCAATGCTCCTACTAATGCAGCCCAATATGCCATTAGCCTTCTTGGCAACAAGGGCACGCAGTTGACTCATATCCAGCTTCTCGTCCACTGTAATCCCCAGGTCCTTTTCTGCAGAACTGCCGCTTAGCCAGTCAGTCCCCAGCCTATAGCAGTGCATGGGATTCTTCCATCCTAAGTGCAGGACTCTGCACTTGTCCTTTTTGAACCTCATCAGATTTCTTTTGGCTCAATCCTCCAATTTGTCTAGGTCACTCTGGACCCTATCCCTACCCTCCAGCATATCTACCTCTCCCCCCAGCTTAGTGTCATCCGCAAACTTGCTGAGGGTGCAATCCATCCCATCATACAGATCATTCATGAAGATGTTGAACAAAACTGGCCCCTGAACCGACCCCAGGGGCACTCTGCTTGATACCGGCTGCCAACTAGACACCAAGCCGTTGATCACTACCCCTTGAGCCTGATGATCAAGCCAGCTTTCTAGCCACCTTATAGTCCATTCATCCAATCCATACTTCTTTAACTTGCTGGCAAGAATACTATGGGAGATCATCTCAAGGCCAAGCTGGTCTCACTCTCCACCTCAGGGTGGAGCTGAGCTCATCCCCCATCAGCTTTGCGTTGCAGAAACACAACTCAAGAAGACAAAGTTAGCAACACTTTAGAACACACAGGAGACAAGAAGATAGGAGCTAACTCCCTCTAATCACCCACATAAATCCTACCTTCTTCTGGGGAGGACACATTACACCCTGCCCTGGGTACTAACTTCCCCATCCTGCAAACAGTTATGTTCCGCTGCCCCCAGCACACATAGGTAGTCACAAACCTTTTCTTGGTAACCCTGTCCCACCCAGCACAGAAGAGACCTGTCTCCAGTCAGGAGGACTAGACTCAAAGCTCTAGGTGGACACTTATCTCAGAGATGCCAGCAACTGCTCTGCTCCCAGCTGGACCACTGTTTCCTGGAGCCATCTATCCCAAACAGGGTGGACTTACCTAGTCTCCATTTCTCAAGTCTCATCTCAGCTCTTCCTATGGCAGAACACAAACCGCAAAAGGAGAAGTTATGGCCAGAGACTGCAATGGCAGGAGCTCATGCATGTTTCTCTGAAGGGATCTCTCCGATACCCCCATCCACAGCACTCCCCCATCCAGTCAGCTGGATGTACCCATACTGTGAAAAACAGCACCTGAAACAGTCACTGCTCAAAGGAAACTATCACCCCCTCCCTTCATTTTATCCCCGAGCGGGCTGTCCCTGCCTAAGAGGCTCATGTTGTCAGAAGGAAACCAAGATCAAGTACAGAGAAGGAGAAAATGGTGACCAGTGACTCCAACCCACCAACATGTAAGAGGAGCCAAAAGAGGACTGAGCATCTCTGATTACAGGCAGGTCACTCTCCTGGAAACCAATCTTCCTCCAGGGAAGGTGCATGCCCTGTTTAACTGTTGGGCCTGAAAAGTCTGATAGTCATAATAATATGAAAACAATCCTGTTCTGCAGGGTAAATGAACTGTACATATAGCACTGACATGACCAGCTTCAGTTATCTTCCCAGATTAAAAAGGTTTAACCTTGTCTTAGAGAAATATACTTTATAGTTACACCATTTTTAGCCAAGCTTTTCAATTAAGAGACATATCTTAAGCCCCACATTGGCTGCCAGTTAAATATAGGATAATAGTTTGAAATTTATAAATACTAAAGAGCTTTGGTTATTGCTTGAGAACAAGTTCAGTTTGAAAGGTAGTATAAGCAATTTATTAATAATTTGGAGCTTCCCTGAAAGTTTTTATTATCCCAGGGAAGGAATAATCACCAGTAAAAACCAATGTCTTCATTTTAATTTCAAGTGTTACTTCACACATCATCATCTTAAGTCGGGAGGATTGTGGGTGACTGTTTATATATTTAGTACAGAACACGTGATTTTATGTACTTATGTAGCATTTGTATGCTTGGACATAGGGATCAGGCTACTGAAATAGCAACGCAAACAGGGTGAGGCAGTGAAATTACGGTACGTTCCCTAAAGCCTCTATATCACACACACACACACACACACACACACACACACCTACTAGCAAATAGAAGCCTCTCCAACACCTCACCAAGGATCTACAACCTATCCTGGAAGACGATCCCTTGCTCTCACAAACCTTGGCAGGCAGATCAGTCCTCGCCTACAGACAGCCCCCCAACCTCAGGCAAATACTCACCAGCAACCACACACCAGAAACACTAACCCAGGAACCATCCCCTGCAACAAACCCCATTGCCAACTCTGTCCACATATCCATCATTTGCCAGCAATGCCTCTCTGCCACATACATTGGCCAAACCGGACAGTCTGTATACAAAAGAATAAATGGACACAAAGCAGATGTGAAGAATTATAACATTAAAAAAAAAGTGGGAGAGCATTTTAACCTCCCTGGACACTCAATTTCAGACTTAAAAGTGGCCATTCTTCAACAAAAAAATCATCAAAAACAGACTTCAACGAGAAACTGCAGAACTGGAATTCATTTGCAAACTTGACACCATCAAATTAGCCCTGAATAAAGACTGGGAATGGCTGAGTCACTACAAGAAGTAATCTCCCATCAATAGTTGAGTATGAGCCATCCACCCTGATGGAATTGGCATTGTTACGAAAAAGTAATTTTTACTCTGTTGACATTCAGACCTTCTTGTCAACTGTTGGGAATGAGACACATCCACCCTGACTGAATCATTGACCCCCCACTTAGTAAGGCAACTCCCAGCTTTTCCTGTGCTGTATATTTATGCCTGTCTACTGTAATTTTCACTCCATACATCTGAAGAAGTGGGTCATAGCCCATGAAAGCTTATGCTCTAATAAATGTGTTAGTCTTTAAGGTGCCACAAGACTCCTCGTTGTTTTTACGAGCAAATAGGTATTGGAAAAAATCCTCTGCTTGTTTCCAGTCTGTGACATAGGTATGAGGACAGGAGTACTTGTGGCACCTTAGAGACTAACAAATTTATTAGAGCATAAGCTTTCGTGGGCTATGACCCACTTCTTCAGATGTATGGAGTGAAAATTACAGTAGGCAGGCATAGATATACAGCACAGGAAAAGCTGGGAGTTGCCTTACTAAGTGGGGGGCAGTAGCCCACGAAAGCTTATGCTCTAATAAATTTGTTAGTCTCTAAGGTGCCACAAGTACTCCTGTTCTTTTTGCGGATACAGACTAACAGGGCTGCTACTCTGAAACCTGTCAGTATGAGGACAGGCTCCCATGCTCGAATGTGTGAATGAACAGCGGGGCCAAGTGCTAACACGTGACCAATTCCCAGACACCCCTTCCCGGGCTATTTGTCTGGACGCAAGTAGAAGCATCAAATCCTAATGAACCTGCCCAGGAAAACCTGCGTGTGCTACAGCCCGTCTGCTCATGGGACGCCACAGGGCTCTGGCCCTTCGCTCAGCCGGCCCCAGCAGGGACTGGCCCTGCTCCTGTAGCTAGGGTTACCATATTTCAACAAT